TTTAAAAAGAGCTGACACAAAAATAGAATAAACTTTCTTCCTGTGCTTCAGTCATTTGATTTAGGCCCCGTTGGGGGGTGGGGTTGTGGGTCTCCTGGTGCCTGCAGCCTGGGACCTCTGCTATATAAAAGAGGGGGCTAAAGCATTTTTTCCTTATAAACAACCAGGAAAACTAAAATAAAAATGAAATGGTATAAACAAAGAAAACTCCATTTCTCACTTATCCTTTTCAGTCTCTACCATGTTACCCCAGTGTTACCAAGTTTGATTTTTCTGATTTTTCTGGAGTTACTGTCATTTTTATAGACATACACATATACATACTCAAACACATAGGCATCATCCTTTATGCCAGGCACATTATCCTGAAACTTCAATTTTCATTTATTACCTCTTCAACTTTATCTTATTCCATATATATATAATATATATACACATATATATGTGTGTATATATATGTATATATATATATATATAAAAAACTAGTCCTTATGGATGTTTGGGTGATTGTCCATGGTTGACATAACCATTTCCCCAGTTTAGTACACCTTCCTGTTTTGCATATTTAAAAAATTTAAGGTCAGGAAAGCCAAAACATAAAAAATGTTTCCTAGTCCCAGAATTTCTTGCTTTTTACATCCTTCTCTCTGTTTCTGTCTCCTTTTCCTCTATCTACATCTGTGTCTCTATTATCTCCCTTTCTCTCACACACACAATTGAACTCAAACATAGTAAAATCATCGCAGTTCCCAACTTTTTTATGAGTTGGATTTTAATCAAGGAAAATTTTGAAGTTAATCTGCCAGTTTTCAGTTCCAGTACTGTTGTCACGTGTGAGATATTGAACGGATTTTTCAGCCTCTCTACGCTTTCTTTCCTCATCCATAAAATAGGAATAAAATTGACACTTCATCATATAAAGCTGAGGGCTAAACTTTGTAGCATACACTCGACTATAATTCTTTTCATTGCCTTGCTCTTGGAAGTGTTAAAATATTTCTTCAAAACCAAGTGTCCTAAGAGGGGGTGAGACGCTTACCTTGCATGTGGCCAACACTGGTTGTGACCTTGCATGTGGCCAACACCAGGACCATATATGATCCCCAAGCATTTCCAGATGTGATTCCTGAGTGCACATCCAGGAGTAAGCCCTTGAATAGCTTCTTTGGAAGATGCCAGGTGTGGCCCACTCCCATTTTCCAAAGAACCTATTACAGTTATTGTTTGACATTCTGAGCCAGTAAATTTGTCTTTTACTTTTTTTCCCCCTGATACATTGTACAGGTCTTAAAGCCCTTGGAAAATTTTGAAGTCCTAAACCCATAATGAACCTGACCCAGATACCCAAGCAGTCTTAGATCAGTCTTAGATCTAAAGAGATTATAGCATCTGTGGATTCTGAGGAAGGAATCCTGGGAAAATAGGAGCAGAAACTGGTATATGAATGCCCTAATACCCCTACTCCCCATTTTTAAATTTTTCTTTTTTTGTTTTTAGTTGCAGGCATTATAGAAGGGCTCAGAAAGCATTCCTGATTCGGCAGGGTGTGGGTGGGGGTCACTTCTGGTGGTCCTCGAGGGACCATGCAGTGCTAAGGATTCAACCTGGGCCACCTACATTGCAAAGCATTCATTTATCTACCTTTAAAAAATTGCTAAGTTTTTGGGGCTGGAGCAATAGCACAGCGGGTAGGTTGTTTGCCTTGCATGTGGCTGACCCGGGTTCGATTCCCAGCATCCCATATGGTCCCCTGAGCACCACCAGGGTAATTCCTGAGTGCAAAACTAGGAGTAAGCCCTGTGCTTTGCCAGGTGTGACCCAAAAAGCCAAAAAAAAAATTTTTTTTTACTAAGTTTTTATTTGTTTATGTTTTTTTAAATAGCTTGGAACCTAGTCCTTGTTGCTCAGGGACCACCTTTGGCACTGTGCTTGGGGGCTGTCCTGGAAATGCTCATAGGGCTATGTATGTGGTGCTGGGATCAGACCCTGGCCTCTCACATGCAAATCTTGTGTTTCAGTCCTGTGAAATCATGTTCTGAATCCCACTTAGTGATTTTTTTTTATTTGATTACTTGGGGTGCTCAGAGGTTATACCCAATAGTTGCTCTGGGTTTATTCCTGACCCTGTGGGTGTTCAGAATGCCAGGGACTGAAATAGGATTGGTAAAAGCAGGGTGCCTCATCTCTTGTATTATTTCTAGCCCTTTTCATTTTTTTAAAATAAATATTATTGGATCACCATGAGATACAGTTATAAACTTTCATGATTATGTTTCAGTCATATAATGCTCAAGCACCCATCCCTCCACCAATGGACATTTTCTACCACCATTTTTCCCAGTTCCCCTCCTGCCACCCCCGCCCCATCCCCTGCCTCTGTGAAAGGAACATTCCTTCTTACTCTCTAATTTGGGGCATCATGATTTGCAATACAGATACTACGAGGCCATCATGTTTGGTCCTTGGTCTACTCTCGGCATATATCTCCCATCCCCGGGAATCCCTCCAATCATCATTTACTTAATGGTCCCTTCTCCATCCCAGCTGCCTGTTCTCCCAGCATGTGGGGCCAGCTTCCAAACCGTGGAGTGATCCTCCTGGCCCTTATCTCTGCTTGTCTTAGGTGTTAGTCTCATAGTATGCTCTTTTAGATTCCACGAATGATTGCATTCATTCTATGTCTTTCCCTCTCTTTCTGACTCATTTAACTTAGCATGATATTCTCCACGTTCATCCACTTATATGTGAATTTCATGATTTCATCTCTTCTCACAGCTGCATAGTATTTCATTGTATAGATATTTCAGAGTTTCTTTAAGCTATCATCTGTTCTCGGGCACTCGGGTTTTTTCCAGATTCTGGCTACTGTGAACAGTGCTGTAATAAACATACAGGTGCAGATGTCATTTCTACTGTGTTTTTTCACACCTCTGGGATATATTCCCAGAAGTGGCATTGCTGGGACGTATGGGTGCTCAATTTCTAGTTTTAACTCCAGCCTTACTTTTAAGCAAATAGGTTTCTTATTGATGACATTTACTATACTTTATTATACTCTCCTATACTATGCTTTACTTTCAGTCATCTACTGTACCTTGTCAATTGTTTCTGCATACAGGAACATAGATAGTTGTTTATATTATTCCTACCTGTTTATTAAAATTAAATAAAAGTTAACAAATTTCATATTTCTCAAATTCATACCTATTTGTGCTAAAATAATACCAATCTCCCATTAAAGTTGATAGCTACTTAATTTGGAGAAGTGGGGTTGGACCTCACCCAACAGTGCTCAGGAGCTAGTCTGGTTTAGTTCTGGGGGTCACTCCTGGGGATGCTTAAGGAGCTTTACAATGCCGGGAATCAAGTCCAGGCTGCCCACATGCAAAGCGTGTGCTCCAGCCCTAATTTTTATGAACCTTTTTTGTTTGGTTTAGTCTCTGGAATTAAACCCAAGTTCTCATACGTGTGAAACATGAATGTTCACTATAGTTGAGATACATTCCTGGGAAATTTCCAATATTAGTGATACAATATAACAGGAATTTTTTTCTTTAATTATTTTCTATCTAATGAGTTTTCTATCGTTTGAGTCTTTGGAAGCTAATTGTTAATTTTCTGGAAGTAGCTTTTGGTTTGTCACAATAGAAAATGTTATTAGGCCAGCTGTCCTTGATACTTAAGTTAAATAGATTCATGAAATTTCACTACCTGCCACAGTGCTTCCAACTTCTATTCTTCCCCAAATCCTAAAGCAGAAATTCAACATTTAATGTATTTTAAATTGTATCTCCCCTTTTTTTTTGCCAAGTCAGCCAGTGCTTATCTGCCCACATTGCGTTTTCTAAATATTTGTTGAAATCACATATCCTGTAATATTTCCTCTCTGATTTTGTCTTTCATACTAGGTCAGTATTTTGGGTTTTTTTTTTTTCCCCTAAATATATGTCTTCATGGAAATCCAGTAGTTTCAAAAGAAAAAAAGCTCATCAGGTAATGAATCTGCTATATTTAACAGCTCAATGGAAGATAGTGTCTACTGTCTGAGGATGTGGGAAATGTCTGAGAGGGTTTGGGGCGTGATATGACCAGGCTGGTGTACTTACAGTCAGTGCTTGGTTTGAGATTGATGTGTTAAACACTCTACCATGTTTGAGGCCATAGAAAAAGCTGAGAGTATCTTGCCCGCACGGCAGAGCCTGGCAAGCTACCCATGACGTATTCAATATGCCAAACACAGTAACAATCCACTTAAATAGTTGTAGTAAATCTACTTCTAATATTCTAGCAACATCATTCTGTATGAGCATAGTAAGAGATATAACAAACTTAAAGTTTGGTTCTTCGTGAGGACATCTCGCTATTTATTTCAGACTGAAGTTCTCAGGCCAGGTTAGTCTCCCTAACCCCAGCAAGGTCCTAATCTCGTCATTACTTTTAGATCATGATTTAGCATTTGTCCATGATTATGCCCTCAACTTATAGTTGAGTATTGTGGTGCTTTGACCTGGCCCATTTCGATGCCAGGGTAGCTCACATCTTGCCCTGGGTCCATTCAGTCCCTCGTCAGGACCCTGCTTTTGAGGTGCTAGGAACTAAGGGCAACAGAGTCAAGAAAGCAGATGCCCAGGAGTAAATATTATTTGGAGTCAATCAACTCCCAAGTTACAAAAGTGTAATATTAACTGTCTTTCTTTGTCCATACAGAAAGGACATTGCTTTAAGGTAAACTATGTAAAAGACATAGCTTACAATACAACTTCAGAATTTAGTCATCAAATAATATGAGAAGATTCAATATGCTAACATTTTCCAGACCTTGGAGTACTGGATACTCTTTTCATTACTATTTCTCAGGGCTGAGCCTTTTGCAACTTATTTACATTTATAGGAACAGTTTTTTAAAAAGCAGCTTCATGGTCCTTATTTTTCAAAAAAAAAAATACAGTGCTTTTCTTTAGCATTTAGTTCTGCTACTTATTTTCTTTTCATATTAACAGATATTTTGGTAAAAGGTCTCAGTGGGATTGTCGAGGGGCATCAAATCTTAATGAACTTCATCAGCTATTAAGCGACATAATGATTAGAAGATTAAAGACTGAAGTTTTAACCCAGCTGCCCCCCAAAATCAGACAGCGTATTCCATTTGATGTTCCAGCAGCAGCCGCTAAGGTGAGAACCTTTTCTTGATTGAAAGTCTTATTTTAAACCATTTTCAATTATGTTATGAAAGATTGTACATTTTTCATATTTCACAGAAGGCAGCATCCACTTTCTTAAAATAGGTTTAATTAATAGAGAATTAAAATTGGCTTTGTATCATTTCAAGTGTAGAGGAGAAGGATTTAGCTTTAGTCATCAAATAATATGAGAAGATTCAATATGCTAGAGATTAAAAAATATTTCTGCTGAGTATAGAATAAAGTACTATTTCAACAAAGAATTAGTATTAAGAATTTTAATTGTAGGATGTGAAGTCCAATAATTAGCAAGGGAAGTTATTTTTTTGCTCTAAGATTTTTTTTTTAAGTATGAATACTTACATTTCAGAATAACTTGAATGTAGCCTTGTTCTTGAAATCTTAAAATTCTCTGAGCATGTTATAAAATATGAAGTTCAAAATATTAGAAAGCCAAATTTTATTTTACCTATTCCTTTTTATGTTTGCTTTTTGGTGAGTAAAGTGCTTATGTATTTTCTCAAATTTCTTCAACTCTGGGCATGACTATCTTAGGTAAGCATTTTGTAGACTACAAACATTATAGGGAGTATTTGGATACGAGTGGGGACATGGAATGTTGAACCAGATCCAGTGATGCTCAGGGGTTAGTCTAGGCAGGGTTCTGTGGATTATATGTATTGGTACTAGGGATCATAGCAGGATCAGCTTCATGCAACGTAAGCACCTTAATCCTAATAGTATCTCTCCAACCCCAAACATTATATAATTGATACAAAAATGAACCAATTTCATTATTTTAGCGTTAGGAACAAAAAGAGTAAATATAAAACAATATCATTTTAATCTAATATTCCATCTTTATGTTTTTATTTATTTATTTATTTATTTATTTTCTTTTTGGGTCACTCCCGGCGATGCTCAGGGGTCACTCCTAGCTCATGCACTCAGGAATTACTCCTGGCGGTGCTCAGGGGACCATATGGGATGCTGGGAATGGAACCTGGGTCGGCCATGTTGGCTGCGTGCAAGGCAAACGCCCTACCCGCTGTGCTATTGCTCCAGACCCCCACCTTTATGTTTTTAAAATAAAGTATTTTAATAAAACATTTTTACCATATATTTTTTATTACCTTGTTTAAATTTTTATTTGTACTTTACAAAATATTTTTGTGTAAGAGGATACTGCAATTCTTATTGATTGCTTCTCAGAGACCCACAGCTTGGCACTGGTATCTGTCATTAGCACAATCATGTGACTGATCTCCTTATTGTTTTTTTGGACCATGCCCAGTGGTTTCTCAGGAAACCTAGAGGTGACAAGGAACAAACTCAGGATTCCCTCATGCAAAACATGCACTGTAGTCCTTCGAACTATCTCCCTGGACCTTGCTTTTTGATTCAAATCTTTGAATGAACATGTTGGCATTTTGGGAGATTTTGAAATAGTTTTTATATTAAAAAGAATATAAACAAAATTGCATTTTCTGTCCTTTTTGCTTCACTTTTAAACTTTCTCTTTTATATAGGAGTTGAATGCCAGTTTTGAAGAGTGGGAAAAATTAATGAGAGCTCCAAGTTCTGCTGCTGAGACTATCATGGGACTGATTACACGAATGTTTAAACAAACTGCTATTGCCAAGGTATTTATTGTTGGGTCATCCATCAGTGTTTGTCTGCATACAAATCACTTAACATATTTTACTGGTTTTATTTAAACAGTTTACTTTCTTCCAGAGCAAATACCATTGCCATTTTATTTTTTAAGTTTCATAAAAATAATTCAGACATATTTAAAGTAAATAGCAATTTGATGATTACCATTAAACCTGTCCATATATTGATCCTTTCTAATATTGGTATATACGGGTGAGGAAAGGTAATGTACTTTTTACATTTTCTCATTTAAAGGATATGATTATACTCATCTTTGCTATCAACCTTTTCCATGGACTTACTGCATAATTGTTACACATAATCTTTTTTTATTCAAGTCAATCATTTTTAATTAGTATTATGTTTTTAGCTCCCTGCATGTCCTCACGTTCTGTTTGCCTAAAAGTGCGAAAGATAAGGTATTAGAGATTTTTTATCACAGCATGACTGTTAAGTAGACTCATCACACATTGCCGTTGCTGTGTTTTTAACAACATGGTAGTACTTAAACATTCTAATGAATGTCATTCCTTTCCACTTTTGGTAACATGCTCTGTTACAGCGAGAAACTATGTACTCAAGGCTTTTTCCCCTCATCAGAAGTTTTATTCTCTCTTGAACATGTTTTTATCTTTTTCCTCTATCTCCTCACATATTTCTGTAGGTAACTATTTCATTTCAAAAAAATAAGACAAGGTTTCACTTGTCACTGTATTGTCACTCTGACATGAAAAGAAGCAAGCCCATTCCTGGGTATAGCATTGCACTACCTCTGTACTGTTTACTCAGCATTCACTAAAAATTATAAAATAAGCATATAAGTAATTTGTAAATCTCTCATCAACAGACAGAATGATCTCTCTCATATGCAGTATGTAAAGAACATAGTAGAGGAATAAAAGCTTCGGTTTATACAAGGACCATTATAGGCATTTACTTATACAGCTAGAAACTTGAAAACAACTCAGATATTCTTCAGACAAATTGTATACATCCATACAATAAAATACTCATTTCAGTATAACAGGTAGGGTTTTTGCCTTGCTCACAGCCAACCTGGGTTTAATTCCTGTTACCACACATGGTACTCTACCCCCCCAGGAATGATCTCTGAGTGCAGAGCCAGAAATAATTCCTGAGCACTACTACCAGTTGTGGCTAAAAAAAAAAACCCAAACAGCAATTTTTAAATATATGTGTAATGGGACACAATAATGTAATAAAAAATTTTTAAATTAATACAGAAGAATAGAGAAAGGAATTAAAAGAACAAAGAATAACAACTAGAAAGATATTAGATTTAAATCCAGTTATATCAGTAACAACATTAAATGTTAATCATCAAAATCCATAAATCAAAGTATAATGTCACATTAAATTAATCATTTAATAGCTGTAAAAAAACTGGAAGTTAAACATGATAAAGTTTAAAAATAAGTAGGTGAAAAAGCTATATCACACAAAAGAATATGTAAGTAAATTTATTAATATCGAATCAAAACAATGGATATTACTAGAGTTCAGGAGGATATTTACATGATAATAAAGGTGACAGTTCACCAAGAAGACATGATAGTCCTAAATACATCTCTAATATTTGAAACCAATGACTAAAATATTTTTAAGATATTTTAAGATATTATTATTAAATATTAAGATATTTTTAAGGTATTTTCCAGATATTTTTATGAAGCCCAGATTACCTCATACCAAGACCAGACAGGCATATCATAAGAAAACTATAGTTCCGCGTCCTTCATAAATGTGAGGATTTTCAAGTAAATATTAGCAAATCAAACCCTATATGTAAGTGTTCGTACTGGTAATATAAGCTTTTACATGAACTTTGGATTAATTACTGTAATTCACTTCATTAACAATGTAAATACTGAAAACTAAATGATTAACCCAATGAAAGAATTTGACAGTATTCAATATCTGTTCATGATAAAACTTTTCAGCTAACTTGAAATAGAAAAGGTCTTTTTTCTCTTAATAAAAGGCATTTAAGAAAAACGTACAATTGATGTACTGCAGGCTCAAAGAACAAACACTCTGACACATAGGATCAGAGGGTCCGTTCTTACAACTTTTTTTCACTCTGTTCAGTTCAACATTGTTCTTTTAACTATAGTTTGACTAGGAAAGTAAATAAAAGATATGCAGTTTGAAGGAAATAAGTAAAATTGTTTGTCTTCACAGACAATGTAATTTTTATTAGATTATCTATAATTAGATCATCAATAATTATAATTTTCTATATAGATTATCTACACTTTTTGAAGTACTTGAAATGAGCAAGTCTACCAACGTCTCAGGATTTATGTCCATTTTTTCAAAAAACTAATTTTGCTGTGAGGGAAATAGTGCTCACAGACTGTGCCAACTTTGTGCTCAGGAATCACCCCTGGCAGTGCTCGGGGCAGTGTGATACTGGAGATGGAACCCACACCTCCAGCATGCACAGACTGTTCTTAGCCCATTGAGACATCTTTCTGACCCTTCTTATTTCTGTATATTAACAGTGAAAAAAATTGGAAATCGAAGTGTTTAAAATGTTTTTTTATAATTTTACTAATCAAGATCAACCCTGGAACACATTCAACAAAACTAGTGCTTTGGTGGAGAGGATGCTATCTCGGTTACACCCAGTGATGCTCAAGGTTCTCTCCTGGATCTGTGCTCAGGAATTACTTCTGAGCATTAGTGGGTGTGACCCAAAAAAGAAAAAAAAAAAGAAACCAATTTGTGGTGTTATAAAAAAGAGTTCTTAAGCACCCCCACCAGAAGGAAACCCATAAAAATAAAAATATATTAATTGGAAGGAAATATTTGCGGTATATTTTACAAACATTGTAAAATATATTTGCTCCATTTCCCATATCATAATTTCCATTTGATTATAACTTTTAGTTTTATCAGTGTTCATTGTTTGTAATACAACAACTTTGTTAAAAGTTTCTCAGTTGAACTGGGGAGATAGTATAGAGGGTAAGGCATTTTCCTTGCTCTCAGTTGACCTGCCTTCTATCCCCAGCATTTCATAAGATCCTCTGAGTACCCTCCCGGAGTAATTCCTGAGTGTAGAGCCAGGAGCAACCCCTGAGCATTGCTGTATATGGTCCCAAAACAACAACAACAAAACCCCCAAAAGTTTCACAGTTCAAAGGTTGGAGTGATAGTTGCAGCAGGTAGAGCACTTGCCTTGCACAGGTTTGATTCCTGGCATTCCTGGCATATAGACCCCTGAGCACAGAGCCAAGAGTAAGTCTTGAACACCACTAAGTGTGACCCCCCCCCCAAAAAAAACCAGGTTTCACAGTTGAGCTGTAATTATATTTCTCCCCTTGACAACTATTGTTTTCCCTAGAGTTAATAGCTATCTTTTGTTGTTGTTTGCTTGCTTTTCAGTTTTCTTTGTACTTAATACTGACTACAGAATGCTTGCTTAAGGGAAAATAATATACATGAAAACCTTCCAGATAATTTCCTATCTCTGGTAAGAAACCCAAATTAGAAGTCAGATTGTGGGTAGTCATTTGGAACCTGCCATATAGTTCCAAAGTTTCTGTAGGAAAAGAAAGGAGATTTTAAAAATATTTCAATTGTTTTCTTTTTTCTTTCTTTTTTTTAAATTAAATCACCATGAGATACAATTACAAAGCTTTCATGGTTCAGTTTCAGCCATACAATAATCAGTCCCTCTTCCAGTGCACATTTTCCACCTCCAGTGTCCCCAGTTTCACCCCCCATCCCAACCCACCCCCTGCCTCTATGGCAAACAATTTCCCTCATACTCTCTCTACTTTGGGGCATTATGGTTTACAATACAGATACTGAAAGGCTAGCACATTTGGTCCTTTATCTACTTTCAGTATACATCTCCCATCCTGAGCAATCCCTCCAACTATCATTGACTTAGTGATCCCTTCCCTGTTCCAGCTGCCTTCTCTCCCAGCTCATGAGGCAGGCTTCCAACTATGGAACAATATTCCTGGCACTAGTGTCTACTGTCCTTGAGTATCTCATATTATATTATTTTATATTCCACGAATGAGTGCAGTCGTTCTTTGTCCTCTCTTTCTCACTCATGTCATTTGGCATGATACTCTCCATGTCCATCCACTTATAAGCAAATTTCATGACTTCATCTTTCCTAACAGCTGTATCATATTCCATTGTGTAGGTATACAAAAGTTTCTTTAACCGGTCATCTGTTCTCGGGCACTTGGGTTGTTTTCAGATTCTGGCTATTGTGAACAGTGCTGCAATGAACATACAGGAGTGGATGTCATTTCTACTGTACATTTTTGCACCCTATGGATATATTCCCAGAAGTGGTATTTCTGGGTCCATATGGAAGCCCAATTTCTAGTTTTTGAAGGCATGTCCATATTATTTTCCAAAAAGACTGGATCAGTCAGCATTCCCACCAGCATTCCCTTTCTCCCCACGTCCTCGCCAGCAGTGGTTGTTCTTGTTCTTTTTGATGTGTGCCAGTCTCTGTGGTATGAGATGATATCTCATTGTTGTTTTCATTTGTCTCTCCCTGATGATTAACAATGTAGAGCATTTTTTCATGTGCCTTTTGTCTATTTGTATTTCTTTTCTGAGGAAGCTTCTGTTCAATTTTTCTCCCCATTTTTTGATGGGATCAATTGTTTCCAATTGGAACTTGGTCCCAGCAATTAATTACAGCAGAAGACTAATCTTTGACATGCTAATTCCTCAATTTTTAGACCTCTGTTATTCCTTCCTTATTAGAACCTCCATCCTCAACCACTTCTGTAGATTGTAACTACATATTTTTATTCCTGGACTACAGTCAGAAATGACTACACCAAACTGGAATTCTTAATATATTCCCCCCAGAAATGTTTTTGATATCTAGTAATTAGACTCTGCCATGAATGTAAATAAAACAATTAACCTATGTTATAAGCAAAATTGACTTCAAGATGGGTAGGTAGTTTAATATTGTTTTATG